CGGTGATAATCTTGTTTTCTTGTGCCCAATAATGCATAATTTGATTTGATAAACACGTTTAGATTGAATGGTAATTTATAATCAGTCACAAGTAACGTCGAATCTGAATCACTTGAAAAAACACGGGGGTGCTTAACTTTTTTCCAGGTGTATATAAACTCGTCGAGAACTGATACCGGACTTTTATAAGTATTTTCACTTGATAAATCAAAACTCATCGAGAACTGATACCGGACTTTTATAAACATTTTCACTTGATAAATCAAAACTCATCGAGAACTTATACCGGACTTTTATAAGCATTTTCACTTGATAAATATAAACTTGTCGAGAACTGATACCGGACTTTTATAAGCATTTTCACTTGATAAATATAAACTCGTCGAGAACTGATACCGGACTTTTATAAGTATTTTCACTTGATAAATCAAAACTCATCGAGAACTGATACCGGACTTTTATAAACATTTTCACTTGATAAATCAAAACTCATCGAGAACTGATACCGGACTTTTATAAACATGTTCACTTGATAAATCAAAACTCATCGAGAACTGATACCGGACTTTTATAAACATTTTCACTTGATAAATCAAAACTCGTCGAGAACTGATACCGGACTTTTATAAACATTTTCACTTGATAAATCAAAACTCGTCGAGAACTGATACCGGACTTTTATAAACATTTTCACTTGATAAATATAAACTCGTCGAGAACTGATACCGGACTTTTATAAATGTTTTAGCTTGATAAATATAAACTCATCGACAACTGATACCGGACTTTTATAAGCATTTTCACTTGATAAATCAAAACACATATAGAACTGATACCGGACTTTTATAAATGTTTTAGCTTGATAAATCAAAACACATGTAGAACTTATACCGGACTTTTATAAACATTTTACCTTGATAAATGAAAACACATGTAGAACTGATACCGGACTTTTATAAGCATTTTCACTTGATAAATCAAAACTCATCGAGAACTAATACAGGACTTTTATAAGCATTTTCACTTGATAAATATAAACTCGTCGAGAACTGATACCGGATTTTTATAAACATTTTCACTTAATAAATCAAAACTCATCGAGAACT